ATACCATTAGAAAGTAACGAGAAAATTGGGATATAGTGCAACCATCTCAAAGAACAGCATGAAGTATATTCAAATACAAAGAGCAAAGATACAGAATACACAAAATGAAATAAAACATATAATACATAATGATAAGATAGAGGAAAATAAATCATCATATGCATGCATATACTTGTCAAGTGTAAATTGGCATAAATTAATTTCAATCATTCATTGACAAAAGTTCAATCAACTTGTGAAATTTTTTTTAACAGTGACTTCTTCAATCTCTTAGGAAACTAAAGAAGAAACAACATAAAAGTGAAAATAAGTCACTCATTTAACCAAGTGCAAAAAATTCTGTCGAATCAATTATAACTTACATATACGCATGTAGAAAGCAATCTAGGCAAACTATGGTTGGTGTATCTCTAATCCCTTGCAAAATCCTAAGATCCTTGAATTAAAAAAAAAAATTCACTTTATAAAAGTGATATTTTCCTTGTACCTTCATCCTTAGTAGTAAGTACCTTAAATCATGGAGGGCATCACCCACTTTTTTGCAATCCAGATACAAAATCTTATTCCAACATTTCAGACTATAAAAAACTCAACTCTTCTATGATAACTCATCAAAATACCAAAATTTCAGCATTTGGCTGCCTGACACTTCATAGTTTACTTTTAATTTTTCTCATGTCAATCTATTGACAAGTAAGAAACAACATATACAATGATTGGAAAAAAAAAAACTTTTAATTATCGGTTTGATAGAGGATAAGATGAAAAAAAATCGTTTTAGATGATATGAGCATATGCTTGAAGACCTCCGAATATAACAATTAGAAGAGGTAAAATGATTAATGTTAGTAGTACGAGAAGAGATAAAAAAAAACCTAAAATGATCTTAATAGAAACTATAAATAAAAATTTAAATACTCTAAACTTAACTAAACATATGGCTTTTTATAGATCTCAACTATAGCAAAAGACTCATGTAGCTGATCCCAAATAGTTGGGACTTACGACTTTGCTGTTGTTGTTGTCAATCTATTGACAAAACACTATTGTTAAATTCAATGTTCAAAAATTAGTTTAAAAGAGCACCTCAATGATGAAGGAATTTGACATCCCAGGTTATAAAATCTAACAACTACGGACACTACACCACCAAAATAATTAAAAAAAAACAGAAAGATACATCCCAATTTAATCCCACATCTGATGTGGGAGGAGAATTGACTAGAGCTACATGAGCTTGCTATTCTTAATTTTGGCTTAAGTGTTTTCGGGCATTGGTTTCAAGCCTATCAAGTTAATAAGTCATTGTTGCATCATGGATCAAATTAATAAGTCAACTGAAACACTGCTTTCTTCATAATAGAAGAGAGAAATGAATTGACATAATCAGCAACAAAATTTCCAAAAGTTGAAAGATAAAAAAGTTATAGTCTATCTTCAACTTGGGTAACACTAATTACTAGTTAACAACTTGTAGAATTTCTAATTTTAAATATATTTTCATTGATTTCCTGGTATGTGTTTTCAATTATAGCAAGGATGAGTTTCAAATCCAAAATTCAGACTCCACACTGAATACACAATTACAGAATGCATCTATAAGAATTATTGTCAACACAATGTGTCATGTGACATGAAAGAGATTAGAGAACCCAACCAAACTTAACATCAAACATGTCAATGTAGAACATGACATCTTTGATCTTGGACATGCCACCAACTATTATGTGGCCATAGGAATGTCCTAACTATTGTCATTTTTTCTTATCACGGTTTATAAATATATTGCTTGCGTTAGATCATTTGAGTGATGAACACAACGAATTGATATTACCCATACCCCACACAAAACATTGAGTCCATCATGAGAATATTAAACATATCTTAATTCCAAGGTGCCAAACATTCACTTCTCGAACATAGCAAGAAATAACAACGATACATGTACCTCAACAAAAGATTTCTTTGTTTATGCATTTCAAAATCATGCAGGTAAAGTAACTTCCAATTAGCAGATCATAATTTTATTAGTTACTCGTGTATGATGCCATTCACAAAGATCTCGTACCACATGCACAAGCTATTGGCATCACCAAGATATGATTGTCAACCAAATGAAATCTTAAACGTGTCTACTTTCATCAAAGTAAGTTGCAAGATAGATGTAACAACTACCAAGGCAACAACAATACAACAAAACAAGTAATGCAAAGCATACAAAATTCAAAAGACTATGTAGCATACCTGTGTCTGGACATCATCTCCCGTGACGATATTACCAACAGTTCGAAGCGCTGGAATAAGTACAGAAGGAGAAGGATGGCTGCCATAAAAAAAACATTAAAACATAAAAAACCAAAAAATAACAATTATAGAGTAAAATTACTAGACACATACAGAAGAAGCTCCACAAGACGTGGACAAACACCAGCCTCAAGTACAGCTTGTATTTTGTCATTGGTACCATCAGACAGATATGACAGCGCCCAACATGCATCTGTGAGCACTTCCTCATCATTTAAATGGATTAGCCGCTCCAGGGCTGGAAGAGCAGGTTTGACCTGCTCACCATAAAAATAAATAACGCTTAGCGCAAACATGAAATGAATTGGGAGAACATGAACAGTACACTAATACAGCACTTAGTATTAACCTGCTCAAAGGCTGGTTGTGGCTTTCCTCTGCAAAAGTTTGACAAGGTCCATGTGGCATTCCTTAACATGGAGAGTTTGGCATGCTCGTTCAGCTGTTGCAGAAGTGGGAATAATGCCCCACTGCTAAGGACAAGATCTCGGCATCTTGGGGAATCACCAGCCACATTTCCCAAAGCCCATACCGCCTAATTATCATACAATATATCAGCTAATTTTTCGAACACAGAACACAAAGCAATAGAAATAGAGGCACCAAACACATACACACAGGCCCCCATGAGTAACATCATTTACCTGCTCGCGGACATCATCACTTGGGGAACTGAGAAGTTTAACAAAAATGGGCACTGCTCCATGATCTATCACAACCTTGGTGTTCTCAGAAGTGCCAGAGGCAATATTGGTGAGTGCCCAAGCTGCTTCAAACTGCCACATGCCACCACAAACAATAATGATAGAACAAACTAAAGCATAGCAGCAAGAAAGATCACCATCAAGTCGATTTGGCTTTGGCAGAAGAAATACCAACCTGAAGTTGAGGATAATCTTCCCTCTTCAGAAACTCCACAAATCGAGGAACAACGCCCGATTGTATCACCTCCTCGATCGGAGGGCTCCGTTCTGGTGAAACAAAACAACTAATCAGTACAATTGACACGTAAAACAATTCAAAATGGATAACAATATTTGGGATGAAAAGAAAATTATAAGAGGTGGAACAGCTAAACATTACAAATTTCCTGATCAAAATAATACCTATCGAGAGCAATTTACGGAACTGCGTGGTGGCTTCTAACTGCAGAGTGCTATCATCAGAATAAACACCCGCCACCATCGCGGGAAGACTTTCCAACTGCAAATCACCAGACCAAAGAGCAATGTGAGGAAATCGTGAGCTCCGAACCCGAGACCTTAACCTTCGTACCAGTAATCATATCGATCCGGACGAAAACCCTAAAACCCCATAGAAATCGAAAACTCGGGGCGGAAATCACCTTTTTCTCTATGGTGGAGGCGTGGGTCGTCGTCTGGGGAAGGGACAGCGCCTGCATCCCTTCCCGCCGCTTCTTCTGCAGGCTCTCCTCCCGCCGGTTCTTGCGGATCTCTACCATGTTGTCTTCCCTCCGCCGCCGCCCCTCCTCCGCATCGACGGCCACCTTGTACTTGTTCCGGCGGACCTCCGCCCTCTCGCTCGGCCTCAGCGACATCCTCCTCCTCCGCCGCGCACGCCTTCCGCAAAGCGAGAGATCGAGCAAACCCTAGGCGACGGGGAGAAGGCTAACCCCAAATCCTAGCGGAGCCCCAAAGGAATAATTAGAGAGGAAAATTCGAGGAAGAGGAGATCATTTTATAGACTCAAAGTAGGAGTGGGTCCGTTCAAAGGGAGGACGAGGAAACCCTAGATTCGAAATAAAATTTCAAACTAGGGCGACGCTGGAGATCGACACCCACTGCTCTACCGAAGGCATGCGCCGCGGGCTCCACTAAATTCGTGGTAACAAGCAGTTGGGTGAGTACGAAGAGTGTCGGTCGGGAGACCCTTCGAATCGGACACGGGCGTAGAGGTGGCGCAGCATACCACGAGCAGGAGGTTAAGTAAAAGCGAACCGGTCAATGTGGCGCTTTACGAGTGGACGAGACGTGGGCACCTTTTGCCATGTTTACCGTGGTATCGTTATTACGAGAGTTCCGAGTAGTAACGCACCGTTAGAATGACGTGCGTACTGACGATACGTTTGAATTTACATACAAGAAAGGCACCTGGAGTTACTCTTAATCACGAGAACGCCACTCTCTGTTCGTGGCATGACGGAGACCGTTCGATGGAGAGCGGTTCGATAGCACATTCGATCATGCCCGTAACTTCTGCCTGCCTCGCTTGGGGAAGGTATGATGAGTTGGACGAGTAAGCTTGTTTCAGATGGCTCGAACCCGGTTTAGGTTTTACCTAACCCGGCCTAGTTGAACCAAACGCCATGTTTGCTCACATCCAAATCCAAACGCCATCACCGTATTTGATATAATATATATGTATATATATATATAATATTATTCAATTATAAATAATATGCATGCAAATTTTCTTATAGAATCAATCGATAATGGTTTACTCATATAGAACATCTATAAAACTTGTAAAATTTAGGGACACATCAAATAATTATTGTACCATCCAACTAAATGATTAATAAAATTAATTAGATATTGAAAACATATGCCAAGTAGCTAAATTCACTATCATTGTTTTTTTTTTTTATTATGACAAGAAATTGTCTAACAACTATCAAAGCTTCTTTTTTATGTTTTTGTTTTTGCCCCACTACAGTTTGATTTATATTCTTTGGCTTTATAGGGAAAAAAAGGAAGTATTTGTCCTTTAAATTTTACCATTGTATATACACCAGAAGAATAGCCAAGACTGTGTTGTGGGAAAGTACAACTTTCAATGTAGCTTCCATGCATAGCATTTCCTGCTTAACTTTGATATATTTCCTATGCAAAAATAAATTCCGTTATAGAAAAACTATTCTGCCACTTACAATGGTGCGTCGTGTCGTATATTTGAAGTCGTCTGCAAAGATTCAGCCCGACATCGATCTAAAATACGCTTCCCGGCAGCCACCGTTGGGCGTTCCGCCGCAGGGTGTGTGTATTACTGCATGCATCCTCCACTGAGCAGAATCAAACATGGAGTTGAACATTTGATCGTACTACTGTATCTATACAGAGATGAATGTAATCTGCAAGCATCCTCCATTGAGTTATAAAAACAACATGGTTTGATGGTGTTGCTGCATGCATTTCAACAGCAAAACATGAATCGAATATAGTTTCACTAGATGAATACCACCTCATAATGATGTCAAAGAAGATTAGAAGAGGAATCTATCAGCTGATGCTCCAGTCTCGGCAAAGGCAGTGAACCTTAGCGAGGGCTGCCATATAGTCATCCGATCTGAGGCAAGATGAATCAGATAGCCATATTAGTGAATGATATCCAAAAATATATATGCATGTAATATGAACTAATCTGGAATCATTATGAACCTTGATCCATATGGGCACTGGCATGCTGCAACAATTTGAAGCTTCGCCACATCCGTATCATTCTATACATGCAAAAACATAAGTCCACAACACAAGTCTATGCTGTAGCATAGAAGACTAAGCACTGATATAAACACCTTGCACATTAGTTCCTCCACCAACTGGATATTTGCGGTCACATTTAAGTTCTTGGATACATTTAACGAAGTTGATGCCGAGGTTCTATCAGTTATTATAATTGTAGACATTTTATACAATATCTCTGGTCGAATGACATACCAACCTAGAGCTGATTGTATCCAAGTTATAATATCGATCATTCTTGTCCAAGATCTTATCTTGTAATACTATCTAATTGTCGAGGTCCATGGGTTCCCAAAAGTGCTAAAAAGAAAAGGCTTCCAATGATAACAGTATTACATTTCTAGATCTTAGCTCTAAATCTCATACATCGTGGATATTATTTGACCATAGTCATATGTTTGAAATCAATCTTCTTTTTAAAAAAGAAAATGATTTTATAAAATGACATGGTTTCTTTAAGATGAATCCTCATATCCTTGTAGGCAGTTAATAGACCATAAAATTGGGGAAAGAACATTATGTTATGGTTTTGCAGGACTACTGGTTTCTTTGATATGGTAACGCTAATTATATAAGCAACCTATTAGTGGAACAAAAGTACTTTGCAAGAGAAATGCTTCACAATTACAGACCTGAGATTCATAATAAAGACCAGCATATAGAGAAGCATAGAAATATTCATCCGCTCGACCGTTGGCAAAGATTTCAACTAGCTGGAAGAAAAAAGAGGGGATAACTAGTGTCATTATAGGAACATGAATTTAATTATTTATATCGATGCACGACTATATCAAAGCTGATAAGTAATTCAGAATCTAGCTATAGTAGCCTGGATCTGTAGGTAATGCATGTTCAATCACTTCCAGAAATAAATGAAATATAGCAATGGAAAACAAAACAAAATTCATCTAAGCATCTACTTGATTACATGACATATAGCAAAGGACGAGGTTGATACGTTTCTTCTTCCATTTATGAGTGCAAGATAGGCATTCTTGCTTCCCTTTTATGCTTATTGATCTGACTCTTATTTTTATGGCATATTTATTCATTAATTTAGTTCCTTCTTACCATCTATCACTTGAAATTCATATGAAACAAAGCCTTGTGTTTACTCTTTCCACTTTAAGATGGGACATGAAATTTGTACTTCAGAATATTCTTGGTGGCGATGATAGCATATAGGACAGCAACCATATATTCAAGTCACATAATTCACTGAATTTAGGTGTGCTTCAGCAAAGCCTACTGTCTCCGTCACCCAATGAACATGATAAATCCAAAAACCTTAAAGACCATCTTGTTTCTTGTGTGGTTTCTAGCAGTGCATCATTTCTTGTCCTGTTTTTCCTTTTTCTTGTGGAAGAAAAGAGTGTTTGACATCAACAATAAAAAGCTCGTTTTAGTTATTTGTCCAAAAGGAAAAAGAAGAAATTTCAAACTGGATCCAGTTCAGTCATTTTTCCAGTAGCACAAATTAAAAGTGACGGATCATAAAAGTAGATGAGACTAATCAACAACTACATTATATGACCTAGAAAACTTCTTTTCCAGCTTTCAAAGAAATGGAAAACAACATTTTTGTTGTCAAGAAACATATAGCCCCAAGAAATATTTAAGCAAAGCTAGACCAGACCTTCTTAGGGTCCCCACCATCTTTAAACATACTATAGGCTTCACGCATGACAGGCCGTGAATCTCGACCTACCTGCAGAAGTATTTGCACAAATCAAATCTATATCGAACTCAACAGTATTTGCTGCTTTCAAAACAAACTATACTTAGCAGCTGCAAAATTATCACACATGGTAGATTTAGAATAGATGATTTTTTGTTGCAAAAGTTGCTTGTTTACTGCTTCCCTTGCTAATACCTTACTCAATGTACTGAAGCCTTTTTCTTCTTTTTGCTTCTCAGTCATTTAAAATTCCTTTTTTTTTTCCAAGCTCAAGAATTACTAAGATTCCATGAAACCCTGAACAAAGAATTCCTACAAACTTGCCTCTAAGAACCTACTCCTAGCATCCCCCACCCCGTAAAGCTGAGCTTCACAAAGAAAGCACCATATAGATTCTTCAGTGTCATTTGGATTCTTCGCAACATCCAACCTGAATTGCTCTGCGCCTTCCTCAAACCTACCAAAGGAAAAAGAAAAGGTCAAACCTGCCAATGTGTCCACACACTTGTGAACAAAGAGGTCCTAATATTTTCTAAGACCCCAGTTACCAAATACCAACCAATATACTGGTTGCAAACGGTCTTCCACATTAAGCATTAGTCTTTCTTAGAACTAAATCGCGTTGGGGCAAATATTTGTTTCTTGGCATGAAAAAGAGTCAATTCGGGACAAAGAGACAATACCTATTCAGGTAATAGAGAGACAATCCACGCTGCCAAAGATCTGAAGGAGAATCTTGACATCAAAAATGAAGGAAGACAAAGAGGAGGGGAGAACAAGAAAGATGAGAAGTCTATGAACGTACATGCCTTCTGCCGCGGGTCCAACTCAACGGCTCGATCGAACTCGGCCAAAGATCCACTGACGTCCCCCTGCCCAGCTCCAATGTGCTCCAAGAATCAGCAATAAGCCCAAAGAGGAGAGGAAGCAGGACTCACGAGAGGGAGGGGGGATCGACGACGCCACGTACCTGCCTGAAGAGCAGCATGCCGCGGCGGACGGCGAGGGAGGCATCGCGCGCAGCGCCGCCGCCACCCGTCAAGGCGTCCCAGATGGAGGCGGAGGCCGTCGGCAGGAAGATCCGGCGGGGAAGCGGGAGGGACGGGAAGAACGCCCTATGGCGCGGGTTTTGGAAAGGTAGGGGATTGATGGCGGAAGCTTCGGTTCCATGGCGGAAGGAAGAGAGGGCAGCAACGGATAACGTAGAAGAAAGCATAGGACATCAGACTCGAACCTTTTTCCGCCTCTCAAGGCTCCTTTAAAATTCCTATTCCATTTAAAGATAAATAAAAATAATTGAATATGAAGGGCTCAATAAATTAAAATTTATTTTTTTAATTTTTAATTAAACTTTCTTTGTCGAATGTGAAAAAACAGAATAATGATTAATCTTTAAATAGGTAGATTTGCAACGTTGTCGAAAAGGAGAGAGAGGAAGTATGAAATAATGAGGGGTTGTACTTAAAAAAATTTTATTTTATTATTTTTTAATGTAACCGTATGAAGTAAAGGATTACCAATAACAATCAATAAATGAGATATTATAATTATTATTATATTTTAAGATATTTCATCATAATTATGAGAGTCAACTCGGTGGATAATTGACAACTGATGGGGTAATTGATCAGACAAATTTTAATAAATTTAATAATATGTTACAGGTTTGTTTTTATCATTTATTAATTATCATTTCCTTATTTCCTTTCCAATTCTCCTCGCTTCCCTTTGCCTTCCTTTGCTCCTAGCCATGATAAATGATTTTTTTATGCTAATAATACTCAAATACCTGTTTCTTTAATTTCACCTCATCTAAGAAGCAAGGATAGTGTCGAACAATATATGTATGTGTATGTGTGTTTGTGCAAACCCCTTACATTTCACCACTCAGACCCTAATCATGGAAGCTAAATCGAGGTTGCATGTCAAAACCTGTTTACATCTCTTGCAGAAACCAACCAAATATCCAGTAACTCTTTCGAGCAATAGCATACCCGTTGTTTGCCGCGCAACCAAATCCCGCGCCGAATGCCTGAGATCGTATAGCGCTACCGGAAGACCTAAACCCATGCATTGCATGGAACTCAACAAGACAGACAACACGATGAAAAGCAACCCCATCCAAATTTGAAATGATTGACGTAGCAAATGCAAAGAAGAATTGTGCGACACCAACAAATTCACCAAGTCAATCACACTCATTAATCTTTTCACCCTAATAAACTGGACAAAAACTAAAATCTTTCTGGAAAAGATTTCGGTAAATACCAGATGACCCAACTTTTTGGTTTGATGAGTTCTGATCTAGTTCTGCTTGGCTGCATGCCATCATCCCAGTGTGATCAATCATAGCTAGCATTCAGAAACTTCAGCAACTCGTTGCGGTTGTTCTCTGCCATCTTGTCTTCCTTTGATTTGTCAAGCTTCAAGAGAATCTGAATGATAAATAGAAGCCAATCAATCGACCGAGACATTCTTAATCGACTTCAGCAAAAAAAAAAGAAGAAGAATTCTCACCTTTTTACCAGAAATAGCACTGCGTCGGACACCATCCTCTTTGTCACGACCAAGGAACTGAACCAGAAGGAGACAGGCAAGGATAAGTCAAAAACTCGATGAAGCTCGAAGAATTTTATAGTGCATCTAAAAATACCTTTGATAGTTGCACAGGGCTGCTGCAACGCTCAGTTTGCTGCTTCTGTATGCAGCTCCCATAGCCAAAAAAATTCACCAAGCAAACATGACATCCAGCAAGCCAATCCAAAGACCATTACCCGTTTACAGACCCCAGCTCCCATGTCAAAGAGCCAACCAGAAATAGGCAGCAAATATATTAAGGACTTTATAAAAGTATTAAAACCTGAAAAGTTCTATTGCTGCTCAAGAACAGATGCTTCCGAGTAAAAACTAAGAAAATAAAGAAAAGCACAGGAATTATCGAGACAATGACTAGTTGAACCAACTATAATGGTGCCCTGTGCCCACCCTCATAAGCAATCTGCCCTAGTCTGACTTTAGATAAATTAGGTTCTTTCCTCATTGTTGCACTTCATTAGACATCCACAACTAGTAATCTATAAGCCTTTAACTATATAAAACTTTCCAAAATTTGAAAGAATTACATCCTTGTCAACGAAACAGAAGACATGCAAAGCAAACAGACACAGGAAAGAACATAATAGCTTACCTCCTTATGCTTCGGTTTTTGATGCTTGTGTCTATGTTTTTTACTTCGCTCTTTATCCTTGGACTAAAGAAGAAATATATAAACATCCAAGTTATGACACTAAATTTATTTTAGTATGCTGATAACATGGATTCAAACAGGAGGGTACAACTCACCTTCTTGGATTTCTCATGCTTGTGCTTCTTACGACGGCCCTCACTGTCGGAATAGCTTTCATCACTGCTGTAAAACAACAATGGCCATTAAGACATATTAGCTTAATGACATGCTTGAAAAAAGGAAAAAGATAAATAATTGCAGAATGATGATGAACCGATTTAAGATTTCCAGCATTGACAATCATTGAGAAGTTTCCATATGAATGGTTCATGGTATAACCTATTTACCTCCATCACACATCTGTTGGGCACCCTAAACATCAGGTCATGGTCTCCAAGCCAAGGAGAATACAGAAGAATAAGCAACTCAGAGAGATGTTGCACATGACTCATATGTGATTTCTTAGCCAAGGAAGATTTTGACATGTTTTAGCTTGTATCAAATATGGAATTCACAATTGTAGCTGAGACATCACACCACTGATCAAAATGCCTAAAAACGACAAACCCTAGAATTCGAACTATGCAGTTTCCGGTTTGATCAAAGAATTTTTCCCGTCTCCCTCTTTAATCTCAAAGAGAGTATTCTGGATTTGATGCATCTGCACGTCTAGATCAACAAGGAAAAATGAAATCTTTACATACAGGAATTTCCAATCACCGAGAATTAATCCAACAGACTGAGAAATTTGAGGACGCGCGACCTGACCAAAACCCTAACCCTAAATCGACGAGAAGCGAAGAGAAAAATAAAGGAAGCTACGTGCCTGTAATCACCGCTGTAGGAAGACGCGGAGTGGTTGGGAGATCCGTGCCTGCTCTTGCGCCTGCGCTTGCCTCGCGTCCGGTGATCCTTGCGAACCTTGAGATCGCCTCGATCACCAGAGCGTCGGTGGCGGCGGCGGCGATCTCGTCGCCGAGAAGTGGAGGAGGAGGAATCGGAGACGGAAGAGGCGGAGGAGTGAGAAGAATCGGAGGACGACGATGAGGAGGAGGAAGACACCATGGCCGGCGAAGGTCGAAAGCTTCACCCGTTGACCCCAACCCACGCCTCCGCAATCACCCTTATTCACTCTTATGATTCCTCTCTCTCTCTCTC